AGTGCATTTGAAAATAGTTAAGTGGGTATGGAACAATTTCAGAACAAAAATGTTCAGAAATTGCCATTTAGCCACTTTATTCAAAGCTAAGTCCCGAATGCCTGAGGTTAAGTGCTTTACTTAAAGGCACAATTGTGAAAGTGGATGTCAGCTCTGCAGATGTAATTCTCAAAGTCATGGGTAAATGCTATCTATAGTACTCAAAACATAAAACCTTTGTATTATGACAATAAGCTCTGGACTCTTCCAGTGGCAAGTCAATCAGGTGTGCAATGACGAGTACTGTTAAAGTACTTGTCACTATTAGCATACGTTATTAAGAATAAGGGTAACACTTTTGTATAGGGACTAACTAGTTGCTTATTAGCATGCCTATTATTAACATATTGGCTGTTTATTAGTACTTATAAAGCACATTTTCTGCATGACCATATAGTACATGTCTAATCCTACCCAATACCTAAACATAACAACTACCGTACTAACTATTAATAAGCAGCAAATTAGGAGTTTATTGAGGCAAAATATGTAGTTAATGCTTGTTTAATGGCGAGAATTGGACCTTAAAATAAAGTGTGAATAGAATAAGTTTGTTTTACAGTATACAATCCAAACATCAGCAACAATATATTCATTATATAAACTCTGGACTAGAACCAACAGTGTGCACTGGTTTACTAAGCTCTGACATTTAGCCAAACGATCTAAACATATTCCTTTGAATCTTGGCTCAGGGAGATAATAATGGTCGGTAAGAGAAAAAGAGATGTGTGTGCGAGTGTGACAAGAAAGCCTAGATCCATGCAACTCATGTTCTCTCTCTTTTTTCTCTCTGAGATGAGAGATGAAGACGAGAAAGGTGACATTTGGAATTTGAATGTCACAACCGGAGAAAAATGGCCCTTTGTCGAACGCTTGAGATAAATTGATCTGATAAGGACAGCGCTGCATGCATTAGTGGTCTTTAGCTGGGCATTTAGTGTGTCTGAGACGATGTGGAGGAGTAGGAAAAGGAGGCGCTGGGGTTAAGGCTAAGATCACATTGCACAGACAGGCCCTGGAAATGTCAAGGTACAATTTACAAATTGATTCCAGCGACAATAGAAAGTCAATGGAGAGGTGCGAGCAGGTCTTTGTGCCACAGTATACGCAAAAAGAGCTCATCTCTTCCGTTACTTCCACTATAACAATTTTTTTCAGCTTTAATAAATGTAATCTCTGAGCAAGAGGGACGGCGCGTGTCCAGGGTGTCAATGCAACGCAAGTGGAACCAATGCAAGCAATACAAAAACGACACAATTAAATTACAAGATTTTCTGTGACCTTGATCTGATGAAGAGAACAAGAAAACAGGAATACACACATACACGCACATATAAATACCGCTGCTGCCAGCACAAAGCCTTATCCTGCTCCTTTCTCTCTCTTTGAAGAGCCATTGAAGTGTTGAAGGTATAAAGAGGGAAACCTCAGAGGTTCGGCTCCACGGTGTCTATAAAATCAATATGAGCACTCCACGCGGCAATGAGAGCAGCACAAACAGGGCACTGGGCATTAACAGGCCTCTGTTACAGCACACAATTACTGTTTACATAGCACTTTCCTGACACACACACACACACCCGTGCAGCCTCAGAGCCGTTGCATGCTTTAAACTGTGGCTCTCTGGAGAAAGCAAGGCAGATGCATATGCATATATTTCCAATAAAGAGAAACTTTGTTCTGAACAAAAGAACAAAACTCACTGACTAAGCCACGTGACTGCATCAGAATGAAAGACAAACACACACAGCTTAAGATCAGTCAGTAGCTGCCAGGGTTGTGTGCCATTCAGAAGTGAATCGAAAATGACTTTTATATTCCAATTGCTGCATTTGAAACAAGGTAGCAGAAGGATGCAGAATTGCAATTTGAATTTGAACTCATATAACTATCAAGTAGAAAAGCTAAGTTTGAAGCGGTGTTGTTACTGTTAACTAAAACTAAAACGAAACGAATAAAATAAAAAATATTAGCTGAAAACTAAAAAAAAAAAACAGAAATGTTGACTCGGCATCAAACTGACAATGTTTTTAACTAAAAGTTTAAATTGAAGTGCTAAACTAAAATGATCAAAATAGAAGAAAAAATGCTAATAAAATTACAAAAGCACAAAATAAAATCACTAAAACTTGAGCAAATTAAAATTTAAACTGAAAATATAAAATGTAAACACTTAAACACTTTTATCCACAGAAACTTAGTTACATTCAATGTATACATTTGATCAGTTCATGCATTTCCTGCGAATCGAACCCATGACCTTGGCGTTGCTAGCGCCATGCGTTTGAGCTAGAGTAATGATAAACAACAAATAATAAATCAATATTAATAATATTAATTTTTAAAATATAAAACCACACAATTACTATTAAACACTGTAATTTAATATAAAGAATACTAAATAACATTGGCTTTAAGACAAAATATCACTGGTTTGAAGACAAACTTCATTTGGAGAAAAAACTAAGTGAAGTTTATTAAATTCAAATTTACTCATGAATTGAAAGAGATCCAATTATTAAATTCAGATTTTTTTACTAACTCTGGCAGAACAGCAATATAAATCACATCAATTGTTTCTCTGCTTCTCTAACAGTCATATAAAGTGATTTGAAGCACTTTCATTTTAGATTGCTGTACATCTGAACGGATAACACACACTTTATCAACTCATATTTTGACCAGTGACAGGCATAAATGAACAACCAACCCGATATCTGAGGAAGAGGAGGTTAAAAAGCCCTTGTAGAACACTCAAGAACCACTCTGGACTGATTAGAAGAGCGCTTGAGAACATTGCTATCTTACAGCGATCTGATGCCTATTTTGAAGTTTCTCTTGGTGCAAGATGACAGTTGAGCATGATTGGCAAGAGCAGCCCGTCAAGCATGAGCACAAAAAGGTGGTTTTAACCAGGGCTTATTATAGACCTGAGCTTAAATAGTGACTGGTTTTATAAGGGGGTCACAGAGGCATTCGCGATTCAGCTATGAGTACGAGGAGGAGAGAAGATTGCGCGATAAGCTTATTCAGAGTACAGTCTTCTCTTAAATGGATTTTTAAGTGCTTTGAAGAGTTCTACAATGAATGCCCTGCAAAAAGTTCCTCAGAAGCATTTGAAATACAAAGCAGTTTGATTCTAAAGCTACAGTATAGAGCAGAAATGAGCAGACCGTTCTTATATGGCAGTGCAAAAGATAAATATATTGCGAGGTTATGTAGGGTCATCTCTACATGCATACTAATTGGACATTAGCATCAGTGTTTATCACAAGGCAGGATTTTTGTTCAAGTGAACTGCAAACCCTCAATTTCCATTTTTATAGGTTCACATTGAAAAGAACTGTCTCCAGATCTATTGCCTAATTTGTGATGGTTTAAACTGAGAAAACAGTGACCTGTTAAATAACTGCTTTCCATCCCGGCTCGGGAAAAAAATAAGGATGACTCATAACTGGGAAAAAAGTTTTAAATGCCGTGCAAGCCAACTCAGATGGTTTGAGTGTTCTCTCTATCTTCTGCACATCCCACACAAATATGCTCCGTTCCTCTCTCTTGTCACAAGACAGACATAACACAAGAGTCATTTGTTCTTGTAATGTTCATATTCGAAATACTGCCATTTTACTAATTTCTTGTGTAAATGACCACTGCGAACTGTGAGTGTAAACAGAAGGGAGGAGTTACAGGCACACAGGGGGAAACGGGACAGGTGCGATGAGATACCATCACTGCAATTTCGTCTCTTAGGTGAGACCCAGGTGTGTTAATGCAGGATGAGTAAATTAGACATCACAATTATCCTCCTGAAGAGACTGTAAATGTTTCTGTGTAAAAATATAAAGGTTTACTGGACAAAACACAATTTTGAGATAAGAAGTTATATTTTACGTCTGATTTAAAAATCGTTGGTGATCATAGCTATGAATGAATAACAAGTGAAAAATCTGTCAAACAGCTTGCCACTGGGACAGTACCCTAAAACATACACCCACTTTACCTTTAGTACGTCTTAAGATATTAATATGTACCTTTCATAAGAAATAAATTTCAGACTGATGTCAAAAAGTACAGTGTCAAGCTGTTGTACTCCTTTTATTTATAACGATTATCACTTTATCATCAGAACCACCAGGTCCTCTTGTTCTAACATCCACACAAGCTTCTGACAAGGAGGGTAGCACTACTTTTCAATGTGGACCCACAAAGATTGCACAAAATGGACAACGTCACAACTGTGAGAGTGACCAATATGCGCTCAATTTTTAGCATATGCTTAGTTTTTCTATATTTGTTCGCAATTAATTTGAATTAAAATGTTTCCCATAAGCCTATGTTTACCTTTTTTGATTAAATGAAGCAGGTTGGGTTAAGTTGAGGCGTGTATTTTTGAGCAAAATATATTTGATTTTCACAAACTCATGCACAGAATGTAAAATTCCCATGTTTTCCATTTGTTTAACAACCCATATGGTAGTGCCAACAACAACACTCTTTATACTTGACCTTGATTTACAGTTGTAGAGATAGGTTTAACGTTTCTAAACTACTTTAATATGAAACAGAAAAATATGGGAACATCATATCAGTGTTTTACAGTGAAAAACACGAGTTACAGACGTTGAAATGTGTTACAACATTCCCCGGTCTTTCCTATATGGGTACCCCGTTTGTGTGATGCTGAGCAAAAGACTAGCTGCAGAACTGCAGAACGACAGTAATCACAGCGTTCTAATCTGTCCTGCACAAATCAAAACTATGTATAATATTCTGAATAGTCGGTACAACTGTCATTTGCCAGTTGTAGAAATATATAATGTAGCCTACAACCAAACTGAAAGGCTGAATGCGGTTATAGCGTCTCCTTTACAGACAATACGCACTATAAAAACACACTGTGCATGTTAGTAGGTTATGATACAGTCTCAACCTATTAATCACAATTCATTATAACTCACCTTGGTTTGAATGGACGGGGTCCGACAAAATCAATCCCGGTAAAGCAAACATGAAGAAAAATATTTGAAAAGTCATTTTTTTGTATCCAGTTGTGCACGCAAGTCGGTGACAGTTACTACAGAAATGAGTCCGAGATTAAATATCCAGTAACAAAACACATTTAACTATTGTAAAGGATTTTGCGCGTCAACCGCCTCGTTCCCCGCATCGCGAAAACGCGGATACAGAGCGACACAAATGCCAGCCCATTACGCACAACTACCGGCGGTACTTGAAAAACTTACAGAATTTACCCCATAAATAGGATAGAGACTGTGAGATAAGTTATCCCTAATGCTGTCAGGCTGTCAACACTTGAAATAAAGAACTAGACTAAGTGTGTTCTCCAGTCGTCAGTGTCCATTAACGGGCTTTCCTCCTCTCTACGCGTTAACACGCGCTTCTCTTCTTCACACTATGTGCCGTCGACACACAAGCCTGGCGTATATCACGCGCTTAAACTAGTCAAATCAGTCTCGCGCACGCAGACAGACCAGGCACGAGAGCTTCCACGACGCTTTCAGTCTCAGTCGCGCGAAATGTGATCTTGAGGTGAGAAGCCCAAGTGAGTTTTGCGGATCTAGACGGAAAACCAGCTCATCAGCACTAGAGGGTGTTCGTTTCCACTCTGTGCTGTGCCGTCCCGCGCTCCAGTCAAGGCTAGCGAAGTCCGGCGTGCGTATTTAAAGCATGGGACATAAACAGTAAGTCTCCTTTGGTCTGCGGCTCCTGTAAGGGGACTCAAACTGCACAGGTTGTCTGTGCATTAATGTTATTTCATGCGTTTTTATCATCACTGACACATTTCTGTATGCATACCCATTTCTATGTTTAAGATGTTGAAACATTCTTCAGCTCTTTTGAACTTTTGCAACTATAGTAATATTAAGCGCATCATCCTTTAACTATATTATGAACTATAATGCAAGGAAAAAAACCAAAGGTGCACTGCAAAGTTTTGCCAGTGTTTTGTAAGAATTTACAGTAATTTATTACAACTAAATTCAGAATTTGATTATGTAATCCATTCAGATCTGGTCATTTTCAAATCATAACGCTACAAGTCTGTAATGTATTTTTTGTAAACAGTTGTTTTGTTTGAAAGTCATTATGTTGATTAGTGTTCCTTTGTTCCTTTGTGGCTGGAAACTTGGACCTTATTTATTTTAATTATTTTCCCCCCATGCAGCTGATGTAATAGTGCTTCATAACACAGTGTGGTTGCACTTACATGTGGAACAAAAACTTTGACTCAAGACTGACTGGCAAATTGTAACTGCAATTTGAATATTGCACATGTAAGGACATAAAATATATAATACTTCAAAATACTATTGTGGTAAGCCAGTTATTGTTTCTGAATGATTCTGAGTTATTGTTTCACAAATTCTAACACTAAGCTTAACATACATAGCAATGATGAAAATCAAGAAACAGATTAGATAAAAAATAAATAAATAAATAAACAAAACATCACAGGTAATTAAAAGTGACAACAACAGAAACAGCAAAATAGAATGGCACGTTGGACAAAAATGCAACCGCATAATTTATTCATGCCGCAATGCATGATGGGAATCTAGGCACTAGCAAATTACTGTTGCCATTACACTTAATCTACAAAAATAGCAGCATTGCATTAGATTACTGCTACATTCCTGCTCTCGTCCACTGTGAAGTCACACTACATTTTTTACAGTGCACAGTTCACCTCTGAATATAAACAGGTTATAATTCACACTTAGGGCAACTGTGCAAATGCATGACCTGATTTATCTGTTGTGGTCTGGATCCTATCGCTTACTGATGTCCTGCTTGTGAGAGTCTACAGTATATCTGCTTGTCACGCCTGCGTAATTCAGACATCTAACTGGCGTCTAATGGTCTCAAATGTGAAAATAATTCCCTCCTTCACCCTAATATCCCCTACATACAATCAATTCAGGATGGTTATTTTTGCGCAGCCATTAAAGGTCATCCGATGCCATCATGCATACACAATATGCTGAATGTAATTTATTGATTGACTGGAGACATGAGGTTTTGAGGAAAACAGGATTTTAATATAGGAGATGACATGAATTAGGTTTAATTCTGGCTAAGCAGTAGCAATGCATACAGTGTGTGAACATCTAATATTTAGGCAAGTAAACAGATGTTGCCAATATAAAGTATAGAAGTAATAACTCTGAAGTATATATATATATATATATATATATATATATAACTAGCAGTTTAAAAGTGACAAAGCAAAATAAAAAATGCACAATGGGAACCTAAGCACCAGCACATCCTATTTGCTTTTGTTTGTGTGTGTGTGTGTGTGTGTGTTACATTACACTTGCTACACCTGGTCATGTTTGCAGTAAAGTCCCAATACATAAAGTACCAATCAGTAGTCAGGAATATACTGTATTTATTTATTTTTCTATGGTATTATACTACCGTTGTTTTCACCCTCTTACAAAAAAGATGAAAGCTTCCACACTCTTTCTTTCCACAGACTACCATTAAGCTAGAGCACCATTAGGCTTTCACACAATGCTCCTTTAAAAGTACTATTTGTATTTTTATGTGTGAGGCCAATATTGAATTAAGATCAAAATGCATATATTACACAACATTTGGAACAAATGCAGACACTTTTCCTTAAATATGTATTCAAAGAATATACTGCAAGTACAGCATTTAGTATGAATGAACGAATGAATGAATAAGGTATTTATATAGCGCTCTGTGTATTGCTGTACACCCAAAGCACTTTACAGTCATATGAGGGGTCTCTCATCTAGGTATCTAGGAATATATGGGTCTTGCTCTGAAAGCTTTGCCTGATAGGTCACGGATCACACATGGATGATGCAAGATTGCCAAAAGCAGTGCTATATGGGTAAGTTTGCCAGTGCAAGCGTGATTGAGGAGCCCCATGTAAGCGTTACAAGGATCAGCTAAAGCGACAGTTGTTGCAGGTTGACATTGATCCCAAAAACTGGAAGACACTGGCTGCAGATAGATCCAGTTAGAGGACCCTCCTAAAGAAAGCTGCTGGGGAGTTGGAAGAACGCAGAGTGATAACTACCCAGGAGAATCGCAAACATTGAAAAGGTCTGGCTGTCCAATTATCCAACAGCAGCGACCCGTTCTTTCCTTGCCCCATCTGCTCCAAAGCGTGCAAGTCCAAGATTGGCCTCTATAGCCACTTGAGAGCCAGCTGCCCCAGACAAAACCCTTCTCACTGATCTTCAGACACAAAGAATTCGCCATGATTATTATTAAGATTATGTTCTTTAGGTGTACAAACACTGCCTATTAATTACACTATTTTGGTACACATTTTATTTGTGATCTGCTTTGTGTGAAAGAATATTAAGTGTCCACTCATGACAGAGAGTCAGTATGAGCTGCAATCTCATTTAGCATGCTGTCATAGTTTATCAGTAAATATCTAAAGAGATCTGACATACTGTAATTGGCATGATCACTTCATGATAAACAACGCAAAGAGCCTCTCGTGATCAAATATTTGTTCATTGAATAGTTTTACTGTATTTACTGAAGGCCAGATTTTATATTCCATAATTATTTTACTTGCAATACTCGAACAGAGCTGTCACCATGGCTGTGGTAAATTATTTTGCCATCTATTTTCATTTATTGTCTGAAAAATAACAAAGCTATCACAGATCTATATTTCTGAATCTCCTCAGCAGAAAACAAAAGAACATGTACAGTAAATGCATCACAATAGACTGCACTGTTTAAAGTGTGTGTGTGTGCGCGCACAGCAGCGAGCAAAAACCAGTTTGTGCTTTTGATTTCAAGAACATCATACCTAACACAGAGAAGATGACAAGATTATTCTCCTAGATGAAAAATGGATGTTTGGCTGGGAAAAGAAAACATCAAATGAAGGTTAAAAGAAGCACAGCTGTTCGGTTTTCTCCACACCACGAGACTCCCGGACTCTCATCTATGAAGCTGTCACTTTGCAAGATTGATAATGGACTTGCACTAGCAGTCTCTTTAAACCTGCCAGAGTTTTCATTCTTTTACAAAAAGATGAAAGCTTTCACTCTCTGTCTTTCCACAGGCCACCATAAGAGTGCCATTAAGCTTTTAGACATTGGGTGCTTTAAAATAGATATTCTCAATTGTTTTTATGGGGGTCAATACAGAATTAAGATCAAAATGCATATTTTACAGAGTTTGGGCAAAATCTGGTACTATAGTGTCTTTAAAGGTATTTTTGTGAATTATCTTAACACATACCCACTCTCATAGACAAAGAGAGATATAGGGAGACGCTAATGTGAAAAGGTCTCTTGGTATTTAGGTCTATAATAGCATGGGTCACGGCACTGAATTTGACCACATTCTTCTATACGATAGGCACCGGTGCGAGCTTAATTATGTCTGATTACCTTTTATAAGTCTCTGTGCGCGGGCCTCTGCTCTCGTAATGAACCTGCATGAAATCGTTAAAAAGTAATTGTGCGTTCGTCCCGGAGATAAGCCGCCGCGGCGGGACAAAGCGATCCTGACACAAAGAAGATTTCTCGGCGCGGGAACCGCGCGCAACACCCCACCGTGACTAATGGCGTGTGAACTCTAATCTGCTGCCGCAAAGAACGAGAAGAGAGGAAGTGCAAATAAATGGAGAGAGTGTGTGCTTGGCATCATTGGACCAGACTCAGCCCACGAGGACAGCATGACGAAGTTGATTATATAGTCTGTTGGTCAACTATTAGCACCCCTGCACAATCAATGTTCGTTTAGAACATTACAACCGGTCGATAAACAGCGATCTGAATGTGATTCTAACTTTGAGTTGCTCACTGACCTCCTGTTTCCCCTGTGTCCGTTTATCACTTCAGTACCATGGACAGCGACACTATATTCTAATAGTGCCCGGTTATCACTTCAGCACCACGGACAGCGACACTATATTCTAATAGTGTCCGGTTATCACTTCAGCACCACGGACAGCGACACTATATTCTTATAGTGTCCGGTTATCACTTCAGCACCACGGACACTATATTCTTATATGTGACCCTGGAGCACAAAACCAGTCATAAGGTTCATTTTTGTGAAATTGAGATTTATACATAATCTGAAAACTGAATAAATAAGCTTCCCATTGATGTATGGTTTGTTATGATAGGACAATATTTGACAGAGATACAACTATTTGAAAATCTGGAATTTGAGGGTGCAAATAAAAATAAAAATATTGAGAAAATCACCTTTAAATCTGTCCAAATGAAGTTCTTAGCAATGGACATAACTAAATGAAAATTAAATTTTAATATATGTATGGTACACTCTAAAAAATGCTGGGTTGTTTCAACCCAACGTTGGGTCAAATATGGACTAACCCAGCTGTTGGGTTAAATTTTTAAATTAAAGTTTTAACCCAAAAGTTGGGCTAGTCCATATTTGACCCAAAGTTGGGTTGAAACAACCCAGCATTTTTTAGAGTGTAGG